TATAATCTCAGCAGGATTCCCATCGAGGCCAAGGAACTTCAAATACCCTAATGCTACCAAAGAAATAAGTAGTGTGTAGGGTGATCTAGATGCTGAGAGAAATGCTTTCTCTGTATGATCATTTATCCCAAGAAAGGGGTCCTTATAAGAGTACTGGGTAGAATGCTAAAAGTAGTCTTCAATATCAAAGCCGTACTGAGACAGATCTGGATGTAAATTAGTTGAAGAAACTCTCTGGTGTTCTCAGGAGGGCTTCTTGGAAGCACTAGAGCATCTCGTAGAATCTTGCTGAGCTCCCCAAGGAAACCACCCACCATAGTCAGGGCACACTGGCTATCCTTCTAAACAACACTGGTGCTATCATGGAAGATGTCCCAGCTGCCACAGATACACTGTGCACGAACTGTTATATTGGGGCACACAGATAGGACCTCAAACCTCAAGGCCCAATTGAACTCTTCCAAATGGATTTTGGATAATTACCCCCATGCAGTGTTCTAGTTGCTGTATCCTTTTCTTGGGGTACATCCAAACCTTTCATGGTTAGAGAGTGAAAGTTCTGACAGTACATTAAACAATACATTCTTCATGATTCCATTTATACTGAGCTATAGGCCAGACAGAACTCACAACTGGGGAAAGAAAACAGAACAATTATCTCTGGGGAGGGTGGGTACAGGGATTACCTGGGGAGGGGCTTGGAGGATTTTCTGGGATAATACATCCTATATTTTGATAGGGAGTAGTGATACCCTAATTTATGCAACTGTCAAAAATCATGGTACACTTCAGATGTGTGAATTTTCACATATAAATTTTACTTTAAAAAAAGAAGCATAAACAAATATCGAACTTTAGTTAATGATGTATGATGTATGATGAAATTTTTTAGGGATGCAGTATACTGATGGCTGCCGTAGCTTCCTATTCCCATCAAAGACTTTCTATTACTCCTTTAATAAAGACTTGCTGGTAAGGAGATAAGAATACTTACATCTTCACAAATGTCCCTTGCAACACCAGGCCTCTGCTGATACCCCACACTAGGCATCCTGAGTTCTGTGAATCAGGTCCAGGTGAATCTGAGAATCTGTGCTCCCTCCAGACTGTGGCACCCGTGAGTTCTCTTGATCTGGAATGCCACTTGCTCTCATCATCTATTAACTTCTGCACATCTTTCAAATGGGAAACCTTATATAGGGCAGGGGAACCTTTCCTGTCCTTCTAGGCTAGGACATGCTCCTCTTCCCTTCACAGTTACACCTTCATCAGTTAATCACACAAATATTTATTCTTCCTCATAAGACTGTTGTTAGGAGGACCAGGGCAGGACAAGGCTATTTTGCTCACAATTGTATTCCCTGTGTCTGGCTTGGTGCCCAGCACAGCCATAGCTGGGTGTTCAGGAAGTTTGTTGGGTAAATGACTAAATGGTAAACTAGAATAAGATACCACTTTTCACATGAAAGACAACTTTAAAAGATTAATATTCAGTAAGAGGTGAGGATGTGGACAAACAGGCCCTCAAAATGATCAGTATGACACCTGCTAATCCAGCAGTTTCACAAGTAGAATTTATTCTACAGGCACAGTAGGACAGATATGTAACTGTATAACAATGTTCCCAGAAGCTCCTTGAAGTGTTGAAAACTCAACAACACACTACGTTTCAAGAGTTGGCTGAGAGGTTAAGGGTACACCATAAAATAAATTTGCATACCCATGCATACCATGAAGCCATTATATGGAATAACCTTAATCCTAATATATTGATAGAAATGATGACTAGTGGATAGTGAGATAAATTGCATAAACATTTAAAGCATAATCCCATTTTGTTAAAAAAAATCCTGCATGTATATGTACACGATTTAAAAGTATGTTATTTTTTTAAATGCAAGGGGGTAGGGAACGGACTAAACTGTTAATGGGTATTACCTCTGGGGAGTAGGGATGGGGGGTTCCAGCAGGGATATCTTTAAGGTAAACAATCAAGTCTTATCATTTTCAAAAAATGTATTTTAAAATATTTTAAACTCTGGATTCTTTGCAGAAAAAGACTTGAAAGTAAGGTTCATGTTGCTTCTGCTAAAATGAAGCTACAACCAGTGAGTGACTGCACTAAAAAACGGCCTCCTGAGGACCCGACAACCACGGACCACCCAAGCGTTGGCACGAGTGTTTAATCCTGCCGGTGAGGTCTGGGAGGAAGGAAGACACGGTAATGAAAATGAGTCGTAGGCGTCCGGGTGGGCATGCCCCAGAAGGAAGGTGGCAGCAGAACTTACTCTGCTTTTCCAGGGACATGATACTTTCTCGGTGCAGGATTCGTCGGGTACTCTTCCCTCGAGAACTGGGCAAAGGTATAGAACAAGGAGGGAGAGAAACCCGGGAGTCCTTGCCATGCCATCCGGGTTGCGAAAATAACGTGCCGCCTCTCTTCTCAGCTCTTCCTTGCGACTGGGAAACGGGTCTGCACGCGGGCAGCTCAGTCGCACCGACGGCGTCCGGGACGCGGAACGTGACTGGGGGGCGCGCACTGCAGCGCGGGTGGCAGAGGCTGCAAGCTCCGGTCCCGGCGCCGGGGTTGGGGCGCTCCCTCCGACGCCAACTCTAGGACCTTCAGTGGCGTCTCGCTTCCTGCACTCCACCTTTAGTAACCAAGCCTAGGCCAGGCTGGATTGGAGGGTTTACGCCCAGTTCTGCAGAGGAAGCAGCGGTTGGGGTGGAGGGTAACCTGGCCAAGGTCACCCGGCATTACAAGGGTTTCCCTCACCCTGGATGCTTTCATGTGTGAATGTGAATGGGCCTAAGCACTCCTTTCTTTTCCTCAATGACCCGCACAGAGAATAAAAATGCAGCCTTTGAGCGTCCGGTACTGGTCTCGACCTCACTTTTCAGAACCCCGCGCGTCCGAAGTCGCGTGCCTTCCCCGGGGCAGCAGTTGGAGGCGCGGGCGCGGGCGCGGGGTGGGGGTGGGGGAGTCCTCGCACGTTGAAAGCTCCCCGAGTAGTAGAACCCTGGGAAAGGACTAGTAACCACGGGGAACCTAGGACGCGTCACGCACGCGGAGCCCACCGCGTCTGTGCCCCACCCGAGACAAGCGAGACGCCGTTTCTCAGCCTAAGAGCTGTGCCCGGCTCCCCACGAAGTATCAGGGAACAAAGGTCCACCTGGTCCTTGAGGTTTGACGCCGCCTTCAGCCAGACTCGACTCTTGGGAACTCGAAGCCGAGGGGCCGGGGCGCGACCCGGGGACGCGAGTCCCTGCCTTACGGCTCCAGCCCAGGGTTGGTATGTGAGTAGAGAGGGGTTTACATGCGGACTCTCGGGAACACTTGCGCAGGCTTTTTGCTTCCCCACCCGGTAAGCCTGGAGCGGCAATAGTGCCGGCCCGGGAAAGTGGGCAGCAAGCGCGCTGCAGCAGGGTCCCGGCGATGATTCGGACGGCTGTGGTTAAGTGCGACCCCCTGGGGCCTGGAGGGCTAGTCGAGCGTCAACCAATGGCTGCGGTGGGCGGGGAGGAAACTGGCCTGGGGACCTGCGTGGGCCGCGTCCCTTCCCCACCCTCGCCCTCCTCTCCTTGCCCCGCGGCCCCTCCCGCCGACGCCCTCTTAAACCCGTCTCTGCCTTCCCCGCCCTCCCGAAGCCTACCGGTCGCGCGCCCGCGCTGCCCCGCAGGTTCCTGGAGGCGGCCGCTCGCCGGCGTCGCTGTGCAGGTGGGTCCAAGCCGGGGGCGCCTAGGTGGCCCGGGGCCGTCGTCTGCTGGCTTCCTGGAAGCGCAGTTAGCAGTCGCTGGCGCAGTTCGTTTGGGGTAGTCGTTTTGTCTCTTCGGGTCTTTACCTCGTGCGTGGCTCTCAGCCCCAAATTGCAGATTGTCGGGGTCAGGGGAGGCCAGGAGCTGAGCGCCTTTGGGGACTCAGGAGGAGACCGGCAGATGCCTTCGTCGTGACTGACCCTACCCCGTGACCTCGTGTTTTGTAATTTCTGAGTCACGACCCTGCTTGTTACCTTATTGGGCTCATTGATCTTGCCCTCAAGACCCGCCGGCCCTGAAGGGGGGCTCCATTTCTCAGCCTTGGTGAACTTGTGTCCAGTGCATCGCCATCCTTCGGGAGTGAGGGCGGCGGCGCAGGGGTGGGGGGCCGGCGGCGGCGGATGCTTCTCCCACCTGCATCGGGGCTCGTTCTCGCCTCCTCCTGAGAGGCGACCCAGGCCTTTTAGGCCCCCACGGGGGCGACTTGGGTGTCCTCAGGGACCTGGAGAGTGTGGCTGGCTCGGCCCACGTGGGAAAGCGAGCGCCGGCTGCCGAACCCCGAGGGGAGCCGAAGGCGGCGTCCTCCACCCCGCAGCCCGGGACCACCTGAGACCGCGGGGTCGGGCTGGGGGCTCGCAGCGGGGCGGCCTCCCGGACCTGCTTCCAGGCTCGCGGAGCGCAACTCCTGCAACATCCGCCAGGGCCCCTTGGCAATTCCCTCCCTGCCCGGGACCCAGGAGCGCCTGGAGCTGCCGCCTGTCCCGAAGCTCATCGGTATCGTCTTGGCGCTCGGCTCCCCGCCCACCCCCGGGAAGTGGGAAGCCCCGCGGCTCCTACCGAACCTGAGAAAGAGTTCTGTTGCCCCGGGAAGAGAGGGGGAGAGGGAGCAGGAAAGATTTTGTAGGAGCCGGGTTTGGGGCCGGATGTAGAGAATGGGTGTTGGAAATCAGCCTTGCTTAGTCAAAATGTGTTTGGAGAAGCAAGGCAAAGGTGACCCTTCCCAGGAACTTGGAGTTGGGCAGGATCCCGGCAAATTTTCGTTTTGGGTTTTGGGGTGTGTGTGTCTACGGCTGTTCCGCTTTGTTTGTACGGTAGCGCTTGGGGGATCAAATTGGGAAGTTTGTCCAGTTCTGTTCGACCTGGGCTGGCTAGTGGTGGAGACTAGGCAGGCAGGATCAGGGTCGCAGCGCCCCTCACTCAGCCGCGTTGCTTTTCCGCAGACCCGCGGCGCTCTCCGGCCCGGTATGGCTCTGCGGCCGCCAGTTGAGGCAGGACCCCAGGACAGGGTGTGCTACTTGCCTGAGAGGATCCAGAACAACCCCCAACACCTGGCCGCTTACTACCCGCCTTTCCCGCCCTATGGCCACTACGGGAGCACCCTAACAGCTACGGAGGAGGGTTTCCAACCTTTCCGGCAGCTGGAGGCCACCGCGTCTGCAGCCCAGCCTATGCCCCCCTTCACATTCCGGACCGCGCCTCCCTTGCTGAGCCCTGGCCTGACACTACAGAGGGAGTCACTCTATGATCTGCCCTGGTACAGCAAGCTGCCACCGTGGTACCCAATTTCGCACCTCCCCAGGGAGGTGCCACACTTCCTCAACAGCAGCCACGAGTATACCGGCCCCACCACTGAAGACCTGGGCCACATAGGTGGCCAAAGCGACAGTGGCCAGTGTTGTGGATCAGAAATTCTAATTCCACCACCTCCTGTGGATGCTTCCCTGTTACCTGAGTGGCTGAAGACCTCCCAGTTATTATCTTGCTCCCCCAGCAAGCGGTCTGAGCATGACCCCAAACTCCTGAACCAGGAGGGGAAGTCATCTCATCACTACCACTTCACACAGGAGGACCTGCACTTAGTTCTGTACGGGGTCATTCCCAGCCTGGAGCACTCAGCCCGCCTGCACCATGCAATTTCCGGCCTCCTGGTCCCCACAGACAACCCTGGTAGGTCGACATCAGGTGGGAGTTGGGCTGGAAGGGAATGCAGAGGTGGAGAAGGGGTAATTTAAGATGAGGCTGTATGTCGCCTGGAGTGCATGTACTTCTATCTGAGGATAGAGCCTTGGAGGCCAGGCGCACTTCTGAGACCCTACTCCTTGATTCAGAAGGTTGATTTTAGTGAGAGGTGAATGTCAGTAGAGAAATAGTTCACGCAGTGGACCTGTCAGGTGGAATCAAATTCTACCAGGATGTGCAAGGTGTCCAACAAAGCCCTCATTCAGTTCATACTTGGAGTCCCAGCACAGCCATCTCCCTTCACCTCGTCAGGTTATCTCTGACTCAAATTCTTTAAATGTGCAAAATGGGGATTAATTACATAACCTTGCAGGGGTGGTTCTGAGTCTCAGGTGAGAAATTTTATACATAAAAGGAGAGGGAAAAATAGAAAGGTTAGGTAAACTTCAAGTTTAAGATAATGGTTACCTCTGGGGAGTAGGGATGGAAAACCTTATGAAGGCATGACATTCTAATGAAAAGTAAAATTTTTACCTGTCTTTTTCTAGGGTCTGATTCTCTTCCTCTGGATAAAGACTCCCTTCAACTGCCAGAAGGTAGGCGGGGCCCCGTGCCTGGGTTTCTTTCCCTGAACTAACACAGTGCTGCATCACTGGCTTCCTGTGTTGTCTCTCCCTTAGGGCTCTGCCTGAGGCAGACGATGTTCGGGGAGGTCCCACATTTTGGTGTGTTCTGCTGTAACCCCATTGCCAAAGGAGTCAGGTTTGGGCCCTTCCAAGGTAAAGTGGTCAATGCCAGCGAAGTCAAGACTTACGGAGACAATTCTCTGATGTGGGAGGTAAGTGTCTTTCTTGGGGGTTGGCAGAAAGTGGGGAATGAGGCTGGTGGGGAAAAATGTTGGCCAGTGCCCTTCTGGGAGCATCCTTGCCTGGGACAGAGGAGACACTGCTGTCTGCTGCCTGATTTACAACATAAAATCAAGGAAAGGCAGATGTTTACTCCATGCAGGTAGTGCTTCTGCATGAATTCTACGTCATTTTAGCTGGTAGTTTAGCCATGAAATATACATTTAAATAATTAATACACTGTTCTATTTATATTCAAACACAGGTATTTTAAATATTATAGATGGATAACTGAGAATATGCCAAAGGGAATAAATGCAAATGGAGAATTTTTATCATTTGCGTATGAAAGAAACTGAGGGTTTTTAAAAACTGATAGTTTTTAAACTGTGTCCAGGGCATGTTGGTAAGAGTGCAGTTTGTCAGGATGCATCAGATTCCCCCCTTTCCCCTGAATTTGTACTTGTGGGAATATAGTTTAGGAAAGTAGTCTGGAATTCAGGCCATGTGGAAGATGTTAATCGCATGGTTGTTTATAATAACACTGGAGACTGCTAGGTTGGCCAACGGCAGAGAATTAAATGATGGCTTATCAGTATGAATAAAAACAAGGTTGGGATAAAATACAAAATGAATTGGTTGCCCATAAATGGTAGAATTAAATGTAACCATCTCTTGTTTCCCTCATCTCTACTTTTAAAATTAACATATCCTCACTACAGATATTTGGAAGTCAAAAAAGTGATGAAACTGAGAATCTTTAAACTTGTCACATCACCTACAGATATATCCTTTAGCTAGTAAATCTATTTAGGCTTAAAACAATATTAGTAATAAATACATTCAGTGGACCCAAGTGTGAGATTTGGATTTTATAAATTTTTAGTAAGTTGTTTTATAGGGTAGGCAAGAAAAGTACATTCCAAACTTCATTTTTATTTCATTTAGATCTTTGAAAATGGTCGTTTGAGCCACTTCATAGATGGAAAAGGAGGTGCGGGAAATTGGATGTCCTTTGTCAACTGTGCCCGCTTCCCCAAGGAGCAGAACCTTGTTGCAGTGCAATGTCAAGGGCAGATATTTTATAAGAGCTGCAAGGAGATCTACCAGAACCAAGAGCTCCTTGTGTGGTATGGAGACTGCTATGAAAAGTTTTTGGACATTCCTGTGAGCCTTCCAGAACAGGGGCAGCAGGCATCCGGGCCCTCTGCAGGTGAGTGCCTGCCTTCACCTTGCCCAGTGAGGCCCTCTGAGTGGAAGCAGGTTCTTTTCTGAACGTGAACACTGCCCTGCAGCTTCTGTCTCTAACCAGGGGGGCATGCCCCAGCGGAAGGAAAATGCCCTGTCTTCCCAAAGCTGCCAGAGCTACTTCCATTCACAGGGGTACCTTTTATTTTACCCTTTTACCCAATAAAAGTGAAATAAGTGGATGCAACCACTTCTTTAGGTGAACCAGTTTCTAATTTCTCTCGAGTCAGGCTATAATACAGCTGAAGTCAAACCTCTGGAGCAGTGTTTTTCAAATGATGGTTGCAGAATCTTAATGGTGGGAAATTTAGTGGTTGAGACCAGCATTAAAGGAAAAAAGAATAAAGTAGGCTAGAAAATACTGATGTGAATCTGACTTAAGTAAGAGTAAGCATTGTTTGATGAAGTTCTGTTGCAAATAGGTGTGTGTGTGCATACATGCCAGGTTTCAAACATAAAAAATGTCTTACTGTGGATCTCAGTCAACTTAGAGAAGCACTGAGCTAGACTCTCACTTTCAAATATTAATGTGGGCATGAATACCTACCGGTCTTGGAAAGATGCGATTCTCATTCAGGTTTGAGACCTGAGATTCTGCATTTCAATGAAGCTTGCAAGAGATGCTGACGTTTGCTTGTTCCTGGACCACATTTTAGTAGCAGGAAGCTAGCTAGAGGACCACCAACCCTCTCTCGGAGTGAGCCTCTGGAATTAGCATTTCAGAAAAGTTCTCTGAGTAATTTTTATATACACAAAAGCTTTGAGAACCACTGAGCTAAAAGGTAGGACAAGACAAATTCTAATTACTGTAATATGTGTAATCAGGTATAGAACCACTTTATTATGTTATAATAAATATAATGAGTAACAGGTAAAAGAAAATGTTATTTGTACCCATCACATACTAAGTGATTGCATGCAAGTCCTCCTGCTAGGCTGAGTCTCTTCAGGACAGAAAATAATCCTGAACACCTTCATGTCCCCTGCTCCTGGATCCCAATATGCATAGATTGAAAGAAGGAGGAAGACACTACAGCTAAGTGGAGAAATGCTGTTTAGGGATGAGGTGCAATAAATAGGATGTGTTAGGCAACGAGAGGGAAGGCAGTCTGGGCTGCGGAGAGAGTGAAGGGGAAGACAAGGACATGCTGACCAAGGATTAGGAGGTAATTAGAGAGCTGTGTCTGTCAAATAATTAGGGCCTTTCAGAATTGTTTGGTGAGTTATATCCCTGCTATATAGCTCACCAAAAACAAATGAATGGTCTGAGGGTAAGGTTGGGGGTAGATGTAAGATGAGGGGGTTCTCTAGAGTCTAGAGGTCCCTGTTGTCTTATACTGAGCACCAAGCCATTTTGGTCACTTCCAAAAATGTACTGATTGCTCTAACAATGAACAATGGATTTGAGAAAAATACATATTTCATAACTCAAACAGTATAATTATCCTTTTGAAAAATTACTGAATACAATGTATTGAGCTATTAATATGTTGATAACCTTTGATATTTCAGTAATACTCCTCTGGAAGTTTATCTTCAGAAATTAGTCCAAAAGAAAAGGCTTTGTCCATAGAATTTTTCCTATAGTACCATTTATATGAGTGAAAAATCACAACCTAATGCTCGGTAGTAGAATAATTGTTAAAGAAATGATATATTAACATAGAATTACATGCAGATATCAGAGATCATAATTATATGAGCAAGAGGGATGAGGGCTTGTAATGGTTAGTGGAGAAAACCCCCCAGCGTGCAGTGGGTTACCTGTGCTCTGACTCTAAACCAAATTATACCCAATGCCTACAGCACTGTTCATGGATTTTGGACAGTATGTGGAAGGAAACTTGTAAACAACTTAAATTGTTAGGAAGAATTACAGATGAATCTATCTGTTTTCTGTTATGAATATTTTTATTTAGGAGAAAAAAGGAAAGGAAACAATTTTTTTTCTGTCCTCTCAAAAGAACTGTTTTGGAAGGCTTTTGGTGAGGGTTGGGTGGAGTCTTCCCCCTTGAGGTCTTGAGTGGGAGGGAAGGGTCTGGACCCTATGTGGGCGGATTATTTGAGTATGCAATCCTGCCGAGTGTGTGTTTTGGGGGATGGAGGTGTGGAATGTGAAGACAACTCTGAATCTTTACCAAACTCTCTGAACCGTGTATTGGTGGTGAGGCAGAAAACATCATTGTCAATACTGAGAAATCCCTTGACTAAAAATAGTAGTTGATGGAGGTGTGGGTGTGGAGGGAGGAAGAAGGAAAGGACCAGGATAAAATGATTTTAAGGTAAATTTCCAAAGCCCTGAGTAGAAAGTGCTTAGTAAGTGGGCATCCTGTCGTTTTTTGCCCAGGTGGTTATTCTTATGTGAACTAACTACCAATGTCTTATTCTGAATTTTGGTGTGCTTAAGTGCTTTGATTTGTAAAGATCACTGACCCTGTCTTGTAGACCCTGTCTTTCTACCCCAGGAAGCAGGAAGGGCAGGTATTTCTGACCAATGAAAATTCTAGCTCTGAGCAAAACCCATCCCAGCAGGGACATTTGGAGAGTATTAGCACCTCAATGGAAGTGATAGACCTGGCAGGGCGCTGGGTCGGCCTGGGTTGGCAGTTGCCTTCCTGGGTATTTACTTAATGAATGGTTTATTTCCTTAGCTACCTGTTAAACGTGCCTGCAACGCAGTGGTCAGCTAACAAAGCCCCTGATGGATAGCTTCCCTGCTGTCCTGATGCTAAAAAGATTTCCATCTACAGACTCTTGCATATGCTCACTCCGGGCTCTTCTCTCCCTCCCTGCAGCCAGACCAGGAGGGCTCAGTGACACATTCACAGTCAGAGCCACTTTGTCCTCTGGAATCCAGAGTGTCCTTGGAGGGGATGCTTTTGTAGGTGGCCCCTGTCCTCTCCCCCCAACACACAGACACCCCAGGACCTGGAACCTCTTTTGCTAAGTCAGCTGCACACTCTCTAACCCCTTTTCCCCTCCCTCTTCCATTGATAAAAACAGATTGACCTTTCTTAGTCTTGTTTTTCACAGAGTGATAGTATCACTCTTATTGGTAAGAACTCAGTATGTGTTAAGACTAAATTGTCTTGGTAACCTGTGTATTAGGGAAGGCATCATAATGTCATCCTTGCTCTATACATGAAGATACTAGCTCTGGAATCTTTCCCAAAAGTTCTGAGAAGTGAACTAGAAGCTAAGAGGATGCCTGAGACCTGTAAAGGGGTCAGATGTGAATTTGTGAAGCCTAGAAGTAAGCTATGGTGCCCATCATTATCCCGGGTGAACTGCTTTGAGCTTGCAGCCCAGGCTGACGTGAAGGCAACAAGGAGAGTAGGTGTGTTTCAGTGTACTGACCTGGTGACACGTGCCATTGGGAGAGCGTCAGGAGCTGTAGGATTGTCTGCCCTCACTGAGGGATGGGCAAGGCTTCTAGCACAAATCCATTTCAGGATGAGAAGGGAAGAGACAACCACCTTGAGCAGCATGTAGACTTGGAATCCTGAATTAGACAAATGTAAAATAATTAATGTATGTTATATACACATGTATTAAGGAATAAGTTACTTGTTCAGGTGTGAACACTGGCATTACAATTACACTTTTTAAGAGTCATTATTGATGAAAGATTATGGTTTGAGGTATTAATGAACCAAATGACAGATTAGTATTGAAATAATCCATAATAGAGCGAAGTGAAGCAATTGAAAACAAAAATTGCCTATGAGTTGGTCATTGTCAAAGCTTGGTGTTGGGCACATGAGGGTTTTTTACCCTATTATTTTGGCATTAGTGTATGTCTTAAATATGCTATAATAAAGGATTTTTAAATATTATATTGGAGGAAGTAGGAATGAAGGAAAGGAGCAGCTGACAAGCCCTGACACTGACCCTTCTGTTTGACAGAGTCTGCAGAAGGTTACAAATGTGAAAGATGCGGAAAAGTATTCACCTACAAGTATTACAGAGATAAGCATCTCAAATACACCCCCTGTGTGGACAAGGGTGATAGGAAATTTCCCTGCTCTCTCTGCAAACGATCCTTTGAGAAGCGGGACCGGCTCCGGATCCATGTCCTCCATGTGCATGAGAAGCACCGGCCACACAAAGTAAGAGTCAGGGCTTTGAATGATCCTGCCCATCACACTTCCTTCCGGTCCCCTCCCAAGCCCCTCAGCACACCTGGAGGGCCTCCAGGGGGAAATTGCTGGGACCCAGTACCCAATGAGACAGGGGCTTTGGTGGAGGTGACAGTGCTGTAGAAAGGCAGGCCAGTACTCTTTCCATCTGAAGGCACAAGACCCAAATGGGGAGGATTTCCTTCTTCTCTCTTGCTTATTACCTGTCTTAAGGTCTTTGTTCTCTCCTGGAACTCTATCTGCCCAGATGTTAAGTTGAATCAACCTCCCTGAGCTTACATTTTAATTTTTCTGCTTAGCATTCTGAGAGCTCCCCAATCTTACTTTCCAAATTGTGTATCAAGTCTTTAGCAGTCAGGGTGTCCATTCAGTTATACAGCATTTCTGTTGTGTTGTTGTTTTTAATTTCCAAGAACAGTTTCTTTTACTAATTGCTGTCCTTTTATATTTGATCTGTTCTGTTTGCAATATTAATTCAAACATCTATTTGTGACAGCAATGATTGTACATGCTCTTTATTAAAACTTCAAACAGTATGGAAAAATAAGAAAAGGCTTCAACTTTATCCCAGGTCTCACCATCTAAACATACCCATTCTCCCATCTTTGTACATAAGCGCACCTGGGGAGCAGGGCATGGAAGCACAGTGCTTTCCTTGACTGGTTCCAAATTCCTGAGAAGATTTGAAAGCAGTCACCAGGGTCAAGAGCACAGAGAAATGACATGAACTGTTCAGAGTAGGTGAACATAGGCTGTAACACGTGCTATCCCTGGACTCCCAAAATATGACCCTCTTTTTATAGGTACAACATGTTTCAGATCACATTGCCATTTTGGTCTACATAGTCCTTGCCACCCCAGCTAGAGTTTTAGTTCTTATCTCTAGAGTATTGAGCACACAGTAGGTGTTCCATAAATATTTACTGAATTAATTGTGTGGTACTTGGTTGGCAATCTACTCACAGCCTTTGAGGAAGGGCAGAGGAGGTATGTTGCCTATGAAGAAAACTGGGAAACAAAGATTAAGACTAACTGATTTGCTCTGGTCACACAGCTGTTTGTTAACAGAGCAGGACTAATTCAGGCATCTAGTACACACCACTATCCTATTCAATTCCTACATTTACATCTGAAGCAACTGATACCCAGAGACTTAAGGTGATTTAAGTAAAAGTCCCAGCACTGAGCAGACTCTGGACCAGAACCCGTGCTGCCAGGTTCTCAGCATAGTCCTAGGGCATCTTTATCATCTTAACTAGACCCTCAGCCGGAGTGTACTTGATCCTCTGCCTACAGACATACACAGAACCAATGCAGTAGCTCTCATCTCACTCCCAGTTAAACATAACGATGAAATGCACTTATTAGGGGAAGACATAATTTCAACTATATTTTTCTTTTTTGCCTTAGTGTTCAACATGTGGGAAGTGTTTCTCTCAGTCTTCCAGTTTAAACAAACACATGAGAGTCCACTCTGGAGACAGACCATACCAGTGTGTGTATTGTACAAAGGTAAATGGAACCCTCCCCCCAAGGGATGTGCCTTGAGCCCAGTTTGGGTGTTCATAGATAAGAACCTGGAGCATAAAGCCTGGCTTACAATGAGCTCCTGGTACACTATCAGCCCAGTACCTGTTTCTACCCCCAGATATGCTCAGGCTTGCTTAAGGTGGTCACATATGACCTCCTTTTGCCAAATTAGTGTTTTAGGCATGTGTAATGAAATTAACTTTAAATTTACAGGGAACTAATGATTGCAGCACAGACTCTTAAATGCTGATCTGACTTTCTAGAGCAACATTGCTGAAGTGGCATCTGATCTGCATTATACAGGATACTGAGTTATAAAGATAGACAGGTGCATGGTTGGGGGTTGCTGGGATAGAAACATGACCATGCTTTAGAAATATACCAAAATAACCTTGTGTCCCCTTTTGGTTGTACACCACTGTGCTGTCGAATATGCAGTTACCGGTTAGCAAGATGTGGTTGTATAATTTAATAAAACTGAAAGTTCAGTAACTGTACTGCAGTAGCCACATTTCAAGTTCTCATTAACCCCATGTGACTAGTGACCACCAAACGGGATTGCACAGATATAGAACATTGCAGAAAGTCTCATTGGGTAGCACTGGAATAGACTGGCTATCGTTGAGCTAATTACATTCTTTTATAATAAAGCCATAAAAGGAATGTAAGCTGTCTTAGGATTGACTTCTAAACCTCCCAAAGAGGAGTAAAACATTGAGTCTACCAGTTTTAGGGAAATGGATACTACCAAAGAAATTATGTCAGAATGGAAATAATCCAAATAGAAAAACAGGGCTAAGACGTAAGTGGACCCTGTGTAGCCATCACAAACCAAAGGAGGGTAGCCATGGATTTCCAGAGCCCCCAACCCGTCCTATTTCTAGCTGGCCTGGAAGGACAGAGACCTTAAAGGGGGACTTAATCCACTTGTGCCATGAATGGGTTGTCTGGCACTCCAGGTCACAGACCAGACTGCCCTAACTTGAGCTGCTGCAGAATGGCCAAGTCTAAGTGTCCAGGAGAGTATAGCATGTACACCTTCCTGTAGTGACCCCACCCTACTTATGCCCAGACACCCCACTATCAAGCACTCCCCTCCCAGCCTACAAATCTGAGGTTACCAGTGTAACCTGGTGTTTTAAATCACCATCAGTGGACCCCAAAAATTGTCATTATATCCCCACTATACTACTTGAAAGTGACATGTCAGAGCATGGTACTGAAATGAATGATAGGGAAAGGTTCTAAATAAAGGGAGGGGTAGGAGTGGCCAAGAAAGGTTGTGACAGCAGCATAGAACTTGGGAATCTAAAACGGTACAGCCACTCTGGGAAACAGGCAGTTTCTTTAAAAAATAAACTTGTAATTACCATACAACCCAGCAATTGCTCACCTGGGCTCTTAACTTCAGATAAATGAAGATAGTGTGTCACACAAAAGCCTGTACACAAATGAAGCAGCTTTATTCACAGTAGCCCCACACTGGAAGCCACCCGGTGTCCTTCAGCACTTGGGTGATTAAACTGACTGGTGTGGCCACAGCATGGAATACTACTCAGCAGTTAAAAAGGAACAGCTGTACTACAACCACCTCCACAAATCTCCACAGAATTACAGAGTAAGAAATGCCAATCTCCAAAGGTGGGCTCCTGTGTGATTCTGTGTACATAACATTCTTGAAATGATAGAATTATAGAAGTAGAGAACAGATGAGTGTTTGCCATGGATTAAGAAAAAAGTGGGAGTCGGAGAGTTAGGTGTGGCTATCAGGGCAACAGCAGGGACTGGTTCATGGTGGAAATGGTTTTGTATCTTAACTACATCAGCATCAATATCCTGATTGTGATAACATACTGCAGTTTTCTGAGATTTTACCACTGAGGAACCCTGGGTAAAGGGCACACAGTCCCTGTGATTTCTTACGACTGCATGTGAATCTACAACTATATCAAAATTTTAGAAGAAGGAACCAGTAAGGTACTGATTCATAGGAAGACACTGGTCAACATCAGCTACTCCCTTCTGTGAGTGGAGCTGCTTGTTTAGGTGCAGGGTCCAGGCTCAGGCATACTAGGTACACTCCTCTGGGGTACATGCCATCATCTGCATTTTTAGCGAGACCCCCAGGTGATCTTGGCCACTGAAGAGCCACTGCTGAATAATCAGTGCTACTCAGAATGAGCCAGAATGACGAGTCAGTCATGTCCTTTCATATTAGGGCTGCTGCTGTTGACCCAGAATGCACTAGACCATCAAAAGCCCAGGTGCATCTCTTGGAGACCTCAGGACCAGTAACAGTGAAATGAGCCCCTTTGCTTAACAGGTTGTCCTGCTGACGGAGCTTACTTTTCCTTCTGCTTTCTGTTCTCTGCAGAAATTTACTGCCTCCAGCATACTCCGCACACACATCAGGCAGCACTCTGGGGAGAAGCCCTTCAAATGCAAGTACTGCGGTAAATCCTTCGCATCCCACGCTGCCCATGACAGCCACGTCCGGCGCTCACACAAGGAAGATGAGGGCTGCTCCTGCAGCATCTGTGGAAAAACCTTCCCCGATCAGGACTCTGTCTATTCCCACATGAAATTTCATGAAGACTATTAGCCCTCAGAGTTTAGGGACAATAGGAAAACTAAGGACTTGTATTTCGTCTTTATTTTTTTTGTTTATGGGTGTGTCATAGGAACAAATGATAGTTAAACCTGAGAGGAGAAATAGAAAAATGGAATAGGCAGTTAGCTGAATTCACCAGATTTATTGTTTCAGCAGCTTTTGCAGAAAGAATAAATAAACAAATTTTTCAGAGTTTTTACCAAGAATAAAATTTTGGTGAATTTTCCTAGAAATGGTGAGAGCTGGCTATAGATAGAACCTAAGGGTGTGGAAAGTCAAAAACCCTGAGAAGGACTAAAGTACATTTCAGGGATTGGGAATTGAGTCTCTAATTTTATGATAAAGGAGGCCTTTTTTCTGCTATTTGTCTTGGGCTTCCAATTGTAATGTGTACCTATCACCTGTTATATTCTACAGAAAAATTATTTAAAACTTCACTCAAGCCAGTGCTTCACTAGTACTATGACTAAGTGTTCAGGTATAAATTATTCTCCCATTTTTTTTTGGATTCATTTTAAACCCTTAGTTCCCACTCCTCCCCCATCACATGACAAATGCCTATTAATAATTTGTTTAGCACCACATAGAATTACTTGGAGAACATGGAGGTTACTTATTCTCCCCCACCATCTGTGACCTTTACTAATCACGGAAGGAAGACTTAAAAATTGGAATAGGTTAAGAAATAAATGTGTTTATATTATTCTTGTTTTAAAGTTGATTTCATTCGTGATGAAGTCACAGGTTGGAATTTTTTTCAGGTCTTCTAGTGCTGATTCATGCTAGTACATTGAGTATAAAAAAAAGAGGCTCACAGAAAAAATATTCCATGAGTTACCACAAAGCTAATACTTAAGCATGTGGGGAGTGATCTTGTCTAATGATGTACAGTGAGAGAGCAGACCCATCTCCCATGGGAAATAATAGCCAACATTTATTGAGCATTAACCCTACGAGATAGTCCCACTGAGTTTTGCCACTTTAGAGGTAAAGAAATCAAGAAAGTAAAGTAGTACTGCATCACTCAACACTTTGATTCTCCCCTATATGAAGCAAGCAATAATTTCTAAATACTCCCATGGAAAATCTGTGACCAGAATAAAAGTGTTTCGTGGGTAATCCCCGCTGCTAAACTACTCACATCCTTAGCCGTGGTTCTGTTAACTGCCTAGGTTTTTTCTTCACCTTTACCCATGGGCCACGTCTCTCAAAATGGAGCCTATTCAATATGGAACAGATGCCCCTTCCAGAGGGAGGCATCCTGCTACAGGCAGTCCCTTGAGAGGGATGTAGTGCAGGTGGAAAAGCAGTGACAGATTTTCCTCTAGGGAATTCTTTTCTTTGCTGACTCGGTCTGAGTAATTTATCCTAATGGGAATGTGCCCTGTTGTTTTAGGACTGTTTTAGTTCATGTTAATTAAGTCAGAACAATGGTCTTTTGAAAAGATGGGGGCTCCTCTTGTAATTACGCATCCATTTGATGGCTCGTTCACTTTAAAAATGAAACGGGTGAAGCAAGACCTCAGGAACGGGTGTGATGCCCCTTTTTTCACTAGGTGAATAATTCAGATTAACTACTTTGTTTTTTGAACCGGACTAGTAGCAAAGGAAAGTAATTTTTACCTCCTTTTTTAACAGTCACTCCAAAATGTGTGCGTGCCAAATAATACCTTACAGGCGTCAGGCACGCCCACCCTAACAACACTTTGGAGGTATTTCATTTACTCTGATCTGTTTCCACAGAATTGGGTCATATTGATCAGGCTATATATCTCTTTTGGCTTGGAAAATGCAATTTACAAAATCTTTTTTTTTGTAATTACCTTAAGCTCTGTCATGTTTATTTAAAATGGATATCATCTATTTTTAAAGAAATTTGGATCAGCTTATAACAATTTTAAAAGTAGACCAAGACAATCAAAGAAGACAAGCCATCATATAGAAAGAAGAATGAAATCAAAACTGGGCTAATATAATTATGCTGGCTGAACATTGTTGGGACATAAAACAATGTAGGTTTTGGAGTTTGATAAACTTGTATCTTTGCACCATTTCTTCATTTGTATAATGTTGGGCAAGTCATTTAATTTCTGAAGTTTAACATCCTCATTCATAAAATAACTATATTGTAGGGTGTTGTGAGAATTAAATGGGATGACTTACATTCTGGATGATAAATCTATTTCCTTTTCTTGCCAGTCAAGTAAAAAGGGAGATAATAATGCATATTTTCCTGTTGATCTATATGCTGTCTTTCAGTGGTTCTCAAAAGTGTGGTTCCTGGACCAGCAGCATCTGGGGACTTGTTAGAAAGGCAAATACTCCAGCCCAACCCAATGGCTCCTGAATTAGAAGTTCTAGGGGTGGGATCCAGCAATCAATGTGAAAGTTAGAACCATTGCTTTATTTTTTTTCTCTTCCGAGTCTCTGCAACCTAACAGTGGGTAAAGATGAGTAGCTAGGTGACATGGCAGAAACAAAGCCGTTCATTAGGGGAAAGAAACCATTACGATGCTGATCACAGGCAGAATAGTGCTCTTCCCAGGAGTAATGGATACCAGTGGAACACAGATTAGTCATGGTACTGTTGGAAATATGAAACTGCAGCTATGAGCCTGATTAATGGAATTTAGAGACCACATGAGTTAGGGTCTCTGCTTGTATTTCTTTTCCCTACCTGAGTCTATATCTGATGAAAATATCACCAGTTTATTCATTAGACTAAAAAAAAAAAATGTATGAAAAGGGACATCTGAGCCCTGGAAAAATAACTAGGCTCAAAGTAAAGTGGCCTCCTTCGTATTGACAGCTCTTAACGGGTCCTCAGGGTGTCCTAGGAGTTGGGGAGTTGGCAGTTGCAATGAACAAAGCTATCAAAGCAGGCAGATGTTTGGGACCTCCACGGGGCCTGCTGTAGGCTCAGCGTAGTGACCATAAAGTAGTCCATCCTCAGTTGGTACTGACTGTTGGGCATGTTGGGGTTTCAAGGAACTGCCATTCACTATCTGGGAACAGATGAAATCAAAATCCTGTCCTAGACCATCTATTATTGGTGAGTCTAATTCTGATAAGACAGGTTGCACAGTATTTCATTTATGGCAGTTTTAAGTACTTCCAAAGTGCTTTATGACTTCTCAAGGGCAGTAATTGCGCTGAACTGTTATTTTCTGGACCCTATCCAAATTCAAAAGAACAAATTTATACATTGAATTCTTTCAATAGGATAATTTAACTAGAATAACATCACAATACTTTTTGGTTGAGTAACATGTCAAAATAGAATAACCAAAATTATTTTGAGAGAAAAGTGATATTAAGAATAATACAAAATATAGATAAACTTCTACTTCAATGATAATCTCTTCATAAAGTGTAGGAATCTCATAGAAAACAGCAAAGTCCTCCATATTTTAAGAGGTTATATATTTCAGGAAATATAAATGCATAAAGCTTCCATTTACTGTTACAAAGAATTTTCATTCCTTTGTTGGCTTCATGTAACCTTAATAAACTTCTGAAAAAAGGTATTTAGCCCTAATTACAGCCAATGTACAGAATGTAAAGTCAGAGCATTGTTCTCTTATTTTTTACCTGTGATCTCAGGATAAAATATGCTTAAACTGTCATTTTTTCATCTTAAATTATCCCAAGATTTTTGTAATCTCATAGATTAAAAATTGTGTGTTCCAACATTATGTAAATTATATCTATAGACTTGTGAAATTTGTTTTGGGTTTATTTCTAGCATAGTGTGCTGTGTTGAAAGCAGTTTGCTATCAAAATATATCAAAGGGATTGGAATTCTATTCTTGATTTTCATAGTTTAAAAATGCTAGGTGTTCTTCCATTTGCTTCCATGGCGTGTTCTATTTGACATCTATATCTACTATTCTTTAAATGCTAATAAAAATATTCGGTAATATTTTAGGGCCAAATATGTGGGGTTTTCCCCCCATTCTTAACCAATTAGATGCTGTAAGGCAACTGAGAGGACACAGTTCACAACTCTGGAGTTTTCAACAATAGCAGGATTTTTCTTCTTTTTTCCTCTGGCAAGGTTTTCTCAGCCTCCGGTTGTTGCGAGGCTGTGAGTGCCTCCTGGTGAAATCCTGCTTGCCAATGTTATCTGATTTAAAGGTGCCAGAGCCAAATTCTCTGCTAAAAATGCGAGAGTGCCTTCCGCTGGGGTTCCCAGTTCTCCCTTAGAAAGAGGCTGCTAACTGTTTCCCAGTTCTTAAATACCAAATCCCTTCAGGCAAGCCTAAGGCAGGTCTATTACCAAAATAGGAGGGCCTGAAATCTTTCTAGGTGACTAGGAGCCTAGGGCTGGGCAGTCAAGAGCAGGTGTGAGATGCGATTCTAGTCTTTTCCATTTGCAAACAGAGGACTGAAGGGTCTGTAAAGGTGAATGCTGAAATCAGTGCTCAAAGACAAAAACCAAATCCCTTTTGGGCTCTCCACAGCTCTGGGACATTGGGGGTCCCAAGGCTGAAGACTCAAATGCCCAGTGAAATGTGGAGGGGGGAAACCTTTGAGCAGGGCCAGTCAGCAACATTGGCAATTATCCAACTTACAAATTGCAAAGGCCACTGGTTGACCTGGGTACTTGCATGCAATTGTTTTTCCAAGGAGTGGCAGGATTGAGGAAGAAAATGAAATAAAAATGAGGAAATGGGTATTTTTAATCTATTACTTGAAAAACAAATACAAAATGTCAAGACACTAAAAAAAATTGGGTCTGTGTGTGAATTTTAATAATTACAGAAATGCTTAAAGGCAAAAAAGGGAATGGTCTCTGAGAAAGCTAATCCTATAACCCAAGGTCAGTCATCAATGGGTCTCATTCCAGGAAAAACTGATTTCAGATGTAAAATGATAAGAGTGGGTTCCTGGTTACAGCTATATATTTATTCAGCCATGGAGAGTGCCTGGCCCCCAACTTTCTGATAACAAACAGCAAGACTGAGAATCCATGTTTTGTAAGAAATAGA